GGGGACCAAGGGCAACATACGTAATGTAAACATCTGTACCCCCATAATATGCTGAAATAAAATAAAACAACAACAACAACAACAAAAAATTGCTTCTTGGTTCTAAAAAAAAAAAAAGATCTGGTGTTTTTTCAAACATTGAGAAACATTACTTACGTGTAGAAAGGAATGTATTTACTTCTAGAACTTGGACTCACACTTAGAAAAAGAGAAAAGAGAGGCAATTGGATTATTAGTATTAAGCTAATGAATATCAAATTATTACAGTGATTCTCTAATTAAAGTAAAAGGTTTTCAGAGCCATCTCATAGGAATTGGACTCTCAAAATTTGCAATTTTAAACAGAAATTATCTCAAGATATAGTTCTGCCTTTTCTGGAATGTCATATAAATGGAACCATACACTACATAACATTTGGGGTCTGGCAGCTTCCACTGAGTAACGTGTATTTGAGACCCATCCTATTGCCGTGTGTTGCATCTGTCCTTTCTCATTGCTGAGTAGTATTCCATGGCATGGGTGGACTCTGGTGTGCTTATCCATTCACCTGCGGAAGGGCATCTTGTTGCTGCTAGGTTTGGAGACTATAGAGGATTCTGTTAGGAGCATCACACAGAGGTTTTTGTGCAGCCCCTGTGAGCAACATTCACATGGAGGAAGCTTCTGGGGTGAACAGCACCCTCGAGAATTCTGCAGGGTGGCAGTACTGACTATGATATGTAGCTTTTCATTTGCCAACTGGTTTATCACCAAAAAAACATCCATTAGATTTATATAAACTGGAATAAAAAGTTTATCATCTGGGTGAGCTATTTGTTATATATATATAGCACCACCACATATAAGTTAAAAATGCTAATAAAGTTTTAAAAATTAACATTCATGTATTAAGAATTAGTACTAAAAATTTCCATCTTTTATAAAAGATATTTAAATGGGATTATCAACAATTTCAGCATGCTGTCTATACTAGGATCTTTCACTTTTTGACTGTTTCAATCTTTTATTTAAATTATTACCATTCATTGTACACTGGAGTGTAAATCAGGGTGTTTTATACATTTGGCAAAACCACAATTTCAGTAACTTTATCAAAAAATCTTATACATTATTTTTAGGTATAGCTCAATAAAATGTTTTTTTGCAAGACTCAATATTCTTCTGAGTATTGTCATGATTTGCATTTCCAGATCCAGCAGTCAAACTTGATTATGGCTTCATAGATTTCATTTCATTATTATTTTTACTTCTAATAATTAAAAATCCCTTGTAAAAGGTGCTTTATAATGGTCTCATTGAAGTGGTGCCATTGTCAAAGATTTGAAAAATGTCATCCTTGATATTGTTTTTTCATAACTAAAATTTAGCAAAAACTCATTAATTTTGCTGACTGTGGACAAACATCTCCTGCATTTTGCTTTGCAATCATGATTAGGTAAATATGAAATCAAATGTACAATATGAACCAAACCAGAAAATGAGATGAAAGTCCAGGGAGCAAAAGATTGAATAATTTTTTTCCCAGACAGCATATATTATTCTTGTGTGATGTTTGTTTGTCTCACACTATTTTTCATAATTGGCCACAGAATTTGTTGAACACTACATATTTCTATTTTAAAATTCCATGTGATTCACTCTTATATTTTATATTGTATTTGATTTTTGTGAAATGCTGGTTGTGACTCACCACTGATAGGTTGCAGCCAACCTGCTACAGACTCCTCATTAAACTATTTAGTAAAGTCTCCTCATTCCTCTGAACTAGGGTAACTGCTTATTCATGTGGAGAAAATGGGTTCCTAGCTCTTATCATAAGTAAAAGTGAATATCAAGTAGGCTAAAAAAGTAAATGTGAAAACCAGAACTTTAAATATTTTAGAAAAAATGTAAGAAAAGAAGGAGAATATCTTTATTATTTCAAGGCAGGAAAAAGTTTATTAAAACTCCACAAAAATAACAAGATTTGAAGGAAAATGCTGATGAATTCAATTACACTAAAATTCAAAACTTCAGTTCAGCAAAGTGCATCTTAAAATAGAGAATTCATTGACTAGAAGGAGATACTTTGATGCATGTTATTAGTAAAGGGTTTTTATCCAGAAAAGTAAACATAAAAATTTCTATAATCAATAAGTAAAAGACAACACAATAGCAAAAGGGACAAAGTGTATGAGCAGGAAATCGACAGATGTGCAAATCCAAGTAAGTCATAAACTTACCAAAAATTATTATTAGCAACCAAGTAGGTATAAACTGAAATTACAATGAAGTATAATTTTATACTTATAAGATTAGAGTTTTTTTTTTAAAACTGAAAATTCCCCACACTGGACACAATGTGCAGTAATAGGAATTGAAACACTGCTGGTGGAAGAGCCCATAGGTATACTCATTTGGAGAAGAACATGGCAATATCAGAAAAGTAGAGAAGTGTACACCTCTTTGACCCAGCAATTCTAGACATAGTATGTGTATATAAAACCTTGAAGTATTTTTATATTTGGGTATGTGAAGGTATGTGGACATTGTACCCACTGCCAAAAAAAAAAAATCAGAAAAAATTAAATTATGAGAATGGATGAATAGATTTGGTATATCCATTCAATGGAATACTACACAGCAGAGAACATGAATAGCTAGAGACACATATATCAAGAGGTATGAATCTTACAAACACAATACTGAGCAAAAATGTTAAGCTGCATAAATATATGTATGATAGCACTTACACTGAGTTTTTAAACAAAGGATGCAATATCACACATGTTTTAAAGGCTAAAAAGAATGCATGAAAATGTGAGACATCCAGTGCAGCATACTAGTGGTGATCCCTGAGGAAGGGAGATGTATCAAGGGGGCTTCCATCATGTCAGTAACATTTTATTTCTAAAGCTAGGATGGATAGACTATATCATATTCTTATTTATACATTTTGTGTATATAAAACAATCAAAAATAAATTTGAAAAATGCAAACAGAGGTGATGACCTGGATTGTGGGCCGTGGTAAGAACAAAAGTAAAGAGGCAAAATACTGACATTGTCGAAGCCAGAAATACCAAGTTTTTTTAGACTAAATGCACAAAATTACATAAGAGGAAGTATTAGTAATAAAGCCATAGTTTTTAACGTTAATGTAACACAAAATAACTATACAATACAAAAATTGATAGAAAATAATTTATAATCTTTTATATGGACTTTTGCAACATTGTAATAGTTTATATAAAACTGTTTATAAAGCATTCCCTGTTTTAAAATGGTTGTGGTACATTTAACATCCTAAATTTTAAGGAAAGTAAAGAGAAAATGAAAGAAAGTGGGCGACTCCAAGCAACTGTCCTGGGATTCGGGTCATAGTCTCAGTTCCAGTCTCTGGGGATGTGCCTCTCACCTGTCCCTCTAACCCATGAGCGAGAGTTTCAGATTCTTAAATACATGAGAGTGAAAAATCTAGTGATGAAAATCTTAGGAGATAAACTTACAAATTAACTGGTTTGACTGGTGCCAGGAAAGATCTTGTTTGAAATCTGTCCCAGAGTCCACCAACCATCTAAAATCATCATCAAAGTGAATGACAGATATTTAATGAACACATTATTACAATTTCTGGTATAAAACTCCAGTGCCCTTTACAGTTCTCTCCACATCATAGCCAAGCCCCCGGCTCTCTAGAAAAAGCACAGTCCAAACTTCCTTAGCCCCTCCTGGGTTTTGTCTGGAGTCACTCCTGGTCCCAGACTCCCAATTTCAATTGGTTTCCTCACAGCTGGAATCTGCCTCGTCATTCCCCCCGTTTGGATGGAAGCACTTGGGAAAGGTCTGGATTTAGTTGTCGTCCTACATGCTGTTCCCATTTGGACCTCTGCGGCCCTAGGCCAGTCTTTCCTTTCCAGCCCATATACTATATGCTAATATAATTTAACATCAAGGAATATGTAATAAAATGACCCATTTTCACAAGACATAGGAATATTTTTAGTTTAGAGATCCTTTACAAATAGTTAGATTTTTTTTAGTTTTTCTTTTAACTGATTTTAACTTTTTTTTAATTTTTCTTTTAATTGATTTTAACTTCCAGGTAAAAATCTCAGGTTTGAGCATTTATACTAAAGTTATGTTTTTCCTCTCTTATCATCATTTTTCTCTATAAAAGCTGAAGAAATTTTGCAAGGTCTTTACCTGGGGTCAATGGACCTCTTGGGGTCTATATTGAGACCTGTATTTTAATTTAATTGATTTCCTCTTTAGCCCAACACATTTTATGTATTCAAAAACTTTATTATGAGAAGTAGTCCAAGGGCTTAACCAGGCCTCCATTCAGTGAGATACAGCACAAAACTTGGGTGTGTTATATTAATACAAGGTGTTTTGCAAGCACAGAGCAGAGACACGGAATCTAGTGAGGAGGTCAAAAGTGAGGGCCACGATGAGACCGGAAGTATGCGTGGGATTTCGCCTGGCACAAATGCACAAACAGAAAGAGTGGTGAAGGCCTTGGAACACTCTTGCAAACCTTCCTGGGAAGGAGCATGGCGGGCCTGAGGACCTGAGAGAAGTTCAGCAGAGACAGGACAGCACAATGTAGGGTGATGTTTGGGTGATAGAATGGAAAGCAGAGGGAAGACAATGGGGCAGGGACGAAGCTAAAGAGGTGGCTGTGGGCAAATAATGGAGAATTGGGTATATGTAATCTCAGGGAATATCAACTTGATTTTATAAAAAAGGATGGGTTTAATGAGTGAAGTACCATGAACAGATTCACACTTTAGGAAAAGCATCCTGGCTGTCGTATGGATACAATAACTCATGTGATGAATTCTTCTTGATATTTAGAAATGAAAAGAGTGGACATCACTACTGATCAGTTGGTACGCTTTGTTTTATCACATAGTAAGAGATAATACCAGATAGCAATCTATGACTCAAGGATCTTTTTGTTTTGCCGTGGAAGTACAAATCTAAGTTCTAGATCCTATTTCAAGAACTATCCTCAGCATTGGTAATCTGGTGAAATTGTTTTTCCCTGTATTTTTCATTATTTACTCATTCTTTTGCAATTTCAAAAATGGACACAGTCATTGCAAATGGCTTTCGAGAAAGAGGTAGTCTTTAAATAGTAAACAAAAGTTTTCAATATTGATAATATCAAACTATTTGCAGTCATCAATGACTTGTATGATTATGGAACTTTCAGTTTCATAAAGATATATATTTGCTTAGTTATTTATGTAATTCTTAACAATAAAATAAGTGTTATTTTGACTTAAAGCTGTGGAGTTCATTTCATAACAGTAAGAAATACATTATTGCTCGAGGCTGTTGGCTAACCTGAGTTATTGCTGGCGCTCTTTCATATCTTTTCAGTGTAAAACACTGTGAGATGAGGTCTGCAGCTTTTTCCAAAGTTGTTTCTTCTGGATCAAGTTTTGGTGGTAGCATCTTATCCCAAGGGACACCTTCATAAGCTCTATGGAATTATTACAGTCACAATAACTGGTATAGTTCATAACAATATCCACTGTAAAAGGCAAAATTTTAAGATGACCCAGATTATCTGTTTCTGAAGAGTTGGCAGCATTCCTACTATTCCACACTAATGCGGCCAAATTGCACAAATCTTGAGCATGGTACAAGGGCTGTGGCTATCCTGTTAAATGCAATCATTACTCTATACATAGGATGTGGAGCTAAAGGTCCCATTTTGTATTTAGAGTTTTAAAAGTTGCTGTGCTTTTTGACAGAGATACTTTATAGACCCAGCAAAACCAATTCTAATTTGATCCTGAATGAAAAACAAGCAACGACTCTCATTCCAGAGACTGTATTCTGACAAGATAGATGGATCCCTGGACTCTGCTCCTGCCATATCCAAAGCTGCTGCTAAAGCTGATGCTTCCATTCTGCGGGAAAGGCATACCCTTCAAAAACTCCCGCTGTTAGTCAAAGTCAGTTCGTAAAGAGTTACCAGTGATCCTCATTCCATCAACAAATATTTATTCAGAGACGACTGTATTTCTAGGCCTGTGCTAAGTGCTTACAATAAGAGTGAATAAGGACTAAAACGAAAATTGTATTGACCACATAAGAATGTCGTGAAGATTAAAGGACATACTATTAGAAAAGGTAAATATTGGAAAAGCTAAATAGCTCAGTGGTGGGTCCATAGTGTTTTCACAGTGTGTGAGTATACTTTGAATTCATTCATTTTGAAATCACTGTACCATAAAAATGCTAAACACAATAAAATAGTTTTAATTGTAGGGGACTTAAGTGTTATTTTCGGACATAATATCTGACTAGCATTGCACTTAAAAAGTTAATCAAAGCTCAAAAGATAACTCACTGTTTGAGCCTCTGATAGATTTCATTAATATTTTGTGGAATTTTCCATGGAGGTTTTAAAAGTTTTTCCCTAGAAAAACTTCTATGTTTTTAAAGAGAAGCTACTAAATACTATGTATGATACTTTGTTTTATAAAAAACTTTTACATTCCGAGTAAAGTTTCATCATGATACTTAACTATTGCTTTATTAAATAAACTATTTCTGAAATGACTACTAGAAGGTTTTTAAATAAAAACCAAGATAAGAATACAGTAGGAAACAAACCCAAAAGCCAAAGAGGAATTTTGGGGCTGTTTAGTTATAATCCTTCATTTTTAAGATGAAAAAAAGTTGAGACCAAAGAGATTGGAGGATGCCAAAGTCTCTTATCCCGCAAGTGGACAAGTCTGGAGCCTTCTCTTTTCTCACATTGTCTAAGACTCCGAAGTCCAACTTCACATCATATTCTTTTGTATTTTCATCAACCTTTGGGATAGCAGGTATTCATACATGTATTTTGTCAAACTGTATTTGGTAATGGGTATACCTTCAATTTGATTGAAAAAATGAAGTTGCCAAGGGAAGCCTGTTGGCAGCGTTCAGAGCACGAGAGGAAAGGAAGTGAGCAGACACGAAGTGCTTTATGGGCCACACATACTGCTGTTTTTTAATTCTTCCTGCTGCTTCTCTCTTCCTCTCCATCCATTCCTCCATATCGTGCCATGCATTTTGGCTTCCGCTCCGTCTCTTTGCTGAACACTAAATCCACTGGTCAACCCGACCACTCATGCTCAGTTACTTGAACTATTGGCATGACGTGAAACAGTTAATCACTCTCTTCTTCCCAAAACACTTTCTTAATTTTCCTTCCAGGCACTAGACTCTCTTTCTTTTCCTCCTACATTAGTGGTTGCTCCTTCTCAGTCTCTTTTTTCTCTTTTTGAGTGTACAGATGTCAGGACCCGGCGCTTTGTGCACTCTCTGACTGCACCCCTCCCTCAGTGTCCCCATCCAGTGCTGTGGCTTTACATACCTTTCTAGAGGCCACAACACACAGATTTATTTCTCTAGCCCAGACCTCTGTCCCAAACTCCAAATCCATATATCCCATTGCCTGTTTAACATATCCACTTGAATGTCTAATGAACATCTTTATCTTGCACATACCCACAAGTGACTTCTCCCCCTGCCTTCATCTTGTTAAGTAATGGCAGCTTCAGTCCATCTAGCTGCACAGGCCAACGTCTTAGAATCATTTCTGACACTTCTTTCTTTCAGATTCATTACCTCCAACCAGGAAATTGGGTTGGCTGTACATTCAACATGTATCGAAAAGTCAACTGTTGCTTACAACTTCCTCTCCTACAGCCTTCCCCCAAGCTACCGTCAATCTCTGCCCTAGATGACAGCAACAGCCTCCTAACAGGTCTCCTGGCTTCTCCCCACACGCAGTCTACTCTGAACACAGCAGCCACCGTGATAACTTCCATACACGAGTCCGATCTCGCTACGTCTCTGCTAAAGCCTCATGTCACTTGGAATGACAGTCCTGATAGCCACAGTTGCTTAAAGTGCCCTACAAGATCTGTTTCCTAGCACTTCTCTAACCTCTTCTGCTACTCCTTCCTCCTTTTACCCTGCTCCGAGCACCCTGCCTCCTGTTCTTCCTCAACACCTTAAGCACGCTTTCCAACATGGGGCCTTTGCTCTACATTCCTTCTGCCCTGAATATAGTCACTCTAAATATCTGCGTGGCTACTCCCTCACCTCCTCCCCATGTCTGCTCACATCTCATCACTCAAGGAGGGCTCCCACCCTCCCGTTTATCACTGAAGTCTACTACCCCGTGCACGTGGCACTCCTAATCTTCTCTTGTTCTACCTTTTTTCTTTTTTTTTCACCGACTTCTCTATCACCTTCTAAGATATGGTCTATGTATATGCTTTCTTATTATATTTCTTGCTTATTGTCTGTTTCCCTTTAGAATGAGAGATCCTGAGAGCAGAGATCTTTGTCACCCTTATGCACTGATGGATCTCACAGCCTAGGACATGGACTCATAACAGGTACTCAATACCTTTGCTAACTGAGTCAATGGCTCTCTTCTCTTAAGCTTTCTCCTCCACTGTCTTCTAGAACACTGTACTCTTATGTCCTGTCACTCTCTGACCGTTTCTTTTCTGTTTGGGTTTTATTCTATTAAGCATAGGTGTTCTTTAATACTCTTCCTTGACATGTTTATTTTGGCAATCAAACATGACTAAGTAAATGTGTTTGATGTCCTCTGAATTACTCATAGGACCCAGGATATATTTTAAAGTCAAGATTCTACTGGGAAAATGCTTACTTTTGTGTAGAGGACTTGTAAAACGACTTCTTTGCATTATACGTCTTGTTTGGCTGAACAAGTGGTTCGCCATCGTCCTAGAAGGCAAGGATAATGAGTTAAAAGAGACCAAGTATAAATGGGAATCGCTATTATTTTCTATTCACCATGTTTTCTTTTTTGCTCTTCATTTTTCTGCTTTCAAGCACCTCTTGGTTTTACCAGATTGAATGCTTCCCTACTTTTCTTCTTTTGTTTTAGAAGTTTATATTCTGTTTATATTGTCATAATCATTAAACTAAAATTTATAAAATGTATGTTAAAGTTAATGGAAAGTAAGATTTTTATGAGAAAGCTCTTGAATTTTAAATATTGATGAATAATTAGTTTTAGCATGATATAATGAAAACATCTTGTTTGTCTTACCTTCTAATGACACAAGGACATTAGTTCTGAAATGCTTCCCTCTCCCTATCTTTCATCTTATTTTATCAAAATTAGTTATTATTATTATTATAATCATTACTATCTTTAATGGTAATAATTCATTTAGATTTTCTATGATATTTTACCAATCTTTTCCTACTTTTGCTTCTTTTATCGTGCTTGTTTTTTGCCCACTGGGTTCTTGGTTTCATTTTCTTTTTGTAGAATTTCAATTTTCAGTAATTCTTTCAAGAATGTTAATTTTTCTAGTTCTAGTTTTTAACTCACCCTCACTTTTGAATATAGTTCTAACTGGGTTTAGAATTCCAGTTCAATAGTTTTGTTTCTTTAGTAACAAACATACCTCATTGACTTCTAGACTGTACTGTTGCTTTTAAAAGCATGAGTTTAATTGTTTTCAGGTATTCTGGTTCCCCCCCACCCCCGTGTTGTATTTAGGATATTAACTTTTCTATATAATTTAAGGAGAGGATATATTTTTGTTCATCTGGTTTAGGACTTCTTATGCTTCCTCAATCTGAGAATTCATGACTTTCATCAAATGGATAGTTCTCCATATTTATCTCTTAATTGTCAATGAATTATCTTTATTCTGTTTTTTTTTTAATTCCTATCAGATAAATACTGGACTTTCTCATTCCATCCTCCATGTCTGTTAATTTTTGCATTGCTTCATCTCTAACATTCATATATATCTTTCATTCTACCATTATCAACTTTCCTATTTTTAAAATTTTTATTGATACATAATAGATGTACATATTTTGGAGGTACATGTGATAATTTAATAAATTCACATAATGTGTAAAGATTAGAGCAGGGTAAATGGATATCCATCACCTTAAATATTTATCTTTTTCCTTATGGTAGGAACATTTGAATTATTCTCTTCTAGCTATTTGGAAATGTACAATAGATAACAATTAACTATAGCCACTTTACTGATCTATTTAATATTAGGTCTTCTTTCTTCTACCTAACCGTATATTTGTACTCATTAATCAACCTCTTCCTACCCCCCCAAACCCTCCCCAACTTTCCTGGCCTCTGGTAACCACCAATCTATTCTCTACCTTCATGAAATACACTATTTTAGCTCCCACATGTGAGTGAGAACATGCAATATTTGTCTTTCTGTGTTTGGCTTATTTCACTTAACATAATGACCTCCAGTTCCATCCATGTTTCTGCAAACGACAGAATATCATTCTCTTTTATGGCTGAATAATATCCCATTGTGTATACATATCACATTTTCTTTAGCCATTCATCCATTGATAGGCACTCAGGTTGATTCCATACCTTGGCTATTGTGAATACTGCTGCAATAAACATGGGAGTGCACATATCTCTTCAATATATTGGTTTCCTTTCTTTTAAATATATACCCAGTAGTGGAATTGCTGGAACGTATGGTAGTTCTATTTTCAGTTTTTTGAAGAACCTCCACACTGTTTTCCATAGTGCCTACACTAATTTACATTCCCACCAACAGTGTTCCCCTTTCTCTACATCCCCTCCAGCAATCGTGACTCCCCTTCTTTTTAATAAAAGCCATATTAACTGGGGTGAGATGATATTTCATTGTGGTATTGATTTGCATTTCTCTGATGATTAGTGATGTTGAGCATTTTTTCACGTCTTCTTTTGAGAAATGTCTTTTCAGATCTCTTGCTCATTTTCAAATCAGATTATTTGTTTTTTTGCTGTATAGTTGTTTGAGCTCCTTACATGTTCTGGTTATTAACCCCTTGTCAGATGGATAGTTTTCAAATATTTTCTTTCGTTCTGTGTGCGGTCTCTTTGCTTTGTTGATTTTTTCCCTTTGCTGTACAAAAGCTTCTTAGCTTGAACTAACCCTATTGCCTACTTTTGCTTTTTAGGTTTTACACAAAAAATCTTTGCCCAGACAAAAGACATGGAGCATTTTCCCAGTGTTTACTTCTAGCAGTTTAATAGTTTCACGTCTTAGATTTAAGTCTTTAATCATTTTTTATTTGATTTTTTTTTTTGGTAAGAATTAGAGTTTCAGTCTTCTGCATACAGTTATCCAGTTTTCCCAGTACCATTTATTAAAGAGATTGTCCTTTTCCCATTGTATGTTCTTGGTGCCTTTGTCAAAAATGAATTGACTATAAATACGTGGATTTATATTTGGGTCCCATAATCTGTTCCATTGGTCTATGTATCTATTTTTATCTTAGTACCATGCTGATTATAGTATATTTTGAAGTCAGGTAGTATGATGCCTCTAGTTTTGTTCTTTTTGCTCAGATTGCTTTGGATATTTGGGGTCTTTTATTGTTCAATATAAATTTCAGGATTGTTTTTTCTATTTCTAAAGAATCAACTTTTCTATTTATTGCTTCCTTTTTTACTTGTTTCTAATCTGTATTTAACTTGTTCATTATACTTTGTAAAATTTCATCAAAGCTACATCTAGTAAAATAATTAAAATTTTCTTCTTTATGATGTTAGTATGTTGAATTACATTGACTGATTTTTGAATATTAAGTGAATGTTTGCGTTCCTGAGATAAACTTCACTTGATTATGATATATCATCTTTTATAAATTATTGGTTTTGATTTGCTAATTCTTTGTAAGGATTTTTATGTCTCTGTACATGAGAAATATTAGTCTGTAATTTTATCTCTTTTTTGTAATATCTTTTTCTGGTCTTGTTTTATCAGGTGCAGTTAGACTCCTGAAATTATTTGAGAAGTGTTTCTTCTTTTATTTTCTGAAATGACCTGTGTAAAATTGGTGTGATGTCTTCCTAGAATGTTTGATAAAATTCATCATTGAAACCATCTAGGTGTGGAGTTTTCATTGTGGTAAGGTTTTTGATTTAAAAAAATAAATTTCTTTAATATATATAAGCATTTATATATTCTATTTCATCTAGTGTTAATTTTGGGAAGTTGTATTTTTAAAGGATTTTGTTCATTTCATCAAAGATGCCAAATTAATTGGCATACAGAAGTTTGTAATATTCCCTTATCTTTCTTTTAGGATCTGTAGTAATAATCCTTCTTTAATTTCTTTTATTGGTAATACGTATTCTCTCTTCTTTTCTTGATCAGACTAATAAGAGGTCTATCACTTTTGTTGATCTTTTTAAAGAAAGAACTTTTGGCTTTTTGAAAATATTTAATTGACAAGTAAAAATTATATATATTCAAGGCATACAACATGATGATTTTATATACAAATACATTATGTAATGATTATCACAGTCAAGTTGATTAACACATCCATTATCATTCATAATTATTTCTGTGTGTGTGTGTGTGTGTGGTAAGAATACTTAAAATCTACTCTTTTATCAAATTTTTAAGTAAATAATACAGTATCATTAACTATAGTCACTGTGCTGTATGTTATATCCCCAGAATTTATTCATCTTAAAACTGAAAGTTTGTATCCTTTGGCCAACATCTCCCCATTTTCTCCAACCTCTAGCTCCTGGTAACCATAGTTCTGCTTTTTATTTCTATGAGTTGACTTTTTTAGATTATACATATAAGTGAAATCATATAGTATTTCTGTTTCTATTACCTGGCATATTTCACTTAGCATAGTGCCTTCTAGGTTCATCCATGTTGTTTCAGATGGCAGGATCTCCACCCTTTTAATGCTGAATTATATTCTAATATATGTATATATACCACTTTTTAAAAATTCATCTGTCACTGAATACTTAGGTAGGAAACAAATTTTGGCTTTTAAAATTTTCTATCTGATGTACCTATTTTCTATTTTATTGATTTGTACACTTATCTTTTTAAATCTTATGCTATCCTAATTTTGGTTTAATTTTTTTCTAGTTTCTTGAGATTGAAACTAACATAATTAATTTTAGAACCTTTCTTGTTTTCTAATGTAAGCATAAAGGGCTAGTTTTTTCTTTTTAACAGAGTTTTAACTGCATTATACAAAATTTGATCTGTTGTATTTTTATTATCATTCAGTCGAAATATTTTCTAATTTCCCTTGTGATTTCTTCTTTGATCCATGGATTATTTAGAAGTGCATTTAATTTTAAAATATTTTATGTTTTCCTAGATATATTATGATCACTGATTTTTGATTTCACTCTGTGGTGTTTTGAGAACATATATGGAATTATTTCAATACATTTAAATGTATTCAGATGTGTTTATGGTCCTGTGTATTATCTGTAGTAGTGAACATATCATGTACATTTGAAATTAATATGTATTCAACATTTGGTGTTATCTTCCATAAATATCAATTATCTGAAGGTGATTGATTTGTTTTTCAGATCTATGTATTTACTAATTGCTTTATCAATTAGACAAAGGTGTTAAAACCTCCTAATATGATCAGCGGAATTGTCTATTTGAGTCTGTTAATTTTTGCTTTATATATTTTAAACCTTTGTTACTAGGTGCATATACATTTATGATCATTAGATTTCTGGGTCTGTTAATTTTTGCTTTATGTAACTTAAGCCTTTGTTACTAGGCTCATATACATTTATGATCATTAGATTTTCTTGGAAAATTGAACCTTTTATAACTAAGACATACCTCTATTTATATCTTGTAATACCCTTTGTCTTGAAGTCTACTTAATCTGACCTTAAAATAGCCACTGCAGTCTATTTATCTTTTATTTACCTTGTA